CATTGATATATCCAGAGAATAAAAAATTATAATTATGTAAAATATTGTTTTTAAAAGTAAAAATTTTTCAAAGTAAAAATAAATATATAATAGAGATATATAAATAGATATAAATACATGCAGTATGTAGTTCTATTTTGATAATTAACAAGTATTAATTTTACTATAAATTACTACATCGTGACATGAGATTTAGAATACATCCGCTTAGACCAGAGGTGGCGAACCTTATTCTATTCTGACCAAATAAAAAAAATACAAATTTGAGAATCTGCCATAGTAAATTAATATTTATTATTTACTATATAATAATATTATTTATTTATATAAATTTAAATTTCATATTTTTATTTTTATGACTATTTAATTACAGTGGTTTTTTTTTTTTTTTTACTGGGAATATTACATTTTTAAATGAGAATATGTTACTGTAGTTCGGTATTTATTTTTGATAAAAATCATCTGATATAATTTTCCTTTATTATTTATTATTTATTTATTATTATTTACTATTATTTAACATCATTAATATTATTTTGACACAAATGTTATATAATATTATATTTTTATTTAAAACTGAACCTTTTTATTTTAATTTCTAACCAAAATGCATTTTTTCATTGCAATTCGAACATTCAACCTTTATTTCATATTTTTCTTCAAAACATATTGACAGTTTTCTCAAGGAGTACTGTTATTGATTTGTGTGATATCACCCATCATATTAATATTGTCTTCTCTTGTTCTGGTAATATTTTGATCAATTTATATCAGATTTGCTAATCTTTTAATATTAAGACAAGCCGTTTTAAAAATTTTAAGCAATTTAGACATTAAATGCATAGCAGTTAACGGATTGTAATGCAATTGATGCACTAAATAAAATAAAAATGACAATTAAATTTCAGCCATTTCTTTTGCAACTATTGTTTTTAATTAGTTTTATTACGACAAATTTCGTAAAATGGTCTTGATAAACCATGGTGAGTTTGAATAATCCATCAATATTAGATTGAAAGTTAATCAAACTAACATGACAGTGATTGTTAGATTCTTAAAAATGAAATGGCTTTTCTACTCTAATTCTTTTCAAAGTTATTAGTTTTTTAATGAACATAATGACAGAAAAAAGTCTATTTCAAAACTCGTAATGTTTGAAAACGTATAACTTATCTCATACGGCATTCAATTTAGCCTTTCTTTGGCTAATTCTTATTCAGCAATATATTACAAATTTAATTTGCTTGGCCATAAAATTTCTTATTTCATATTTTTCATTTTTTCAATTGATTTAACAATTAATATGCCTTTATTCATATTTCCATATACTTTATTATTTAGATAGTTCAGTATAAAATAAAACTTTAACATAATGCGCACACGATTCTCGGTGGATTTACACATTTCGAAAAGAAAATTGTCGCGTAAATACATATAAGTATATATAGACATAAATTTTACAAGATAAAAACCGTTACCTCCACAATTCATGAACTGATGATGGTTAAAAATGTATCAACATCTCGATACGTTAGATGGGCGTGATGTAATTTACTCTTAACGAATTCGTATTTGACATTTCATATAATTCCTAGAATATGTGAGATATATTATATAATAAGTACCTATAGCCGGATATTTTCATTTTTATCTTACAGAATCTATAGAGTTAAAAACATTGTAATACAATGTCCGAACTTGAAAATTATACACTCGGCCGTAAACAGATACGCCATCATAACAGCATGATTTCAACTAAGTAATTTAACTTCGATATCACGAACTTATGAAATAACTTGCACGAGCAGAATATTTCATCTAAACACACGTAATTGTGATTTTATGGCCGGTTATTCGAAACTAGTGCCGTGTATAGATGGAAAACCGTGTTCACTGGCTTCTCCACCGCTTGACGTCATTTTTCATCACGGTGCGTAGGTATCAAAGGAATTTAAAACGTTCAAATATACGTGCGCACACCCGAATAGCGATGTACAGCTGCTACAGCTTACACAATTAAATTATATCGCATCTCGATTAAAAAGTATTCGTCCAAAACGGTTGGAACACAAGTTTTACAAACATTTAATGGGTGAAAAGTGTGAGGAATTACTACCGGTCGTTTATTTTGTACAAGTCGCTTGGCAAATTGAATACAAACCATAATTAAAACTGAACGTTTACCGGTAAAATACGCGTGAAACTCGTGGCGGCGGCGGCGGCGGTGATGCATTCGGGAGAATGTGAACGACAGGATGATAATGACGTTTCGAGGCGATTAAGGCCTCGAAATAATGTGATTTAACTTACACAAAATTAATGGGCAGAAACAGTATGGATTTACGAGATATGTCTTCAAAAGCAACTTCACGCTTTTGATTAATAACAATAATAATTATACGATGCCGATGAGATAGTACGTAATATTATCTGAAATCACGATTAGTGTCGCAGAAAATGTTTTTTAACGTGAATGGAAATACTTATGGATTGTTCAATCAAAAACTAATAACCCAAATGATTAGATTTCACGGTCGTTGAGTTTACTCAACGGCTAATATTCTGATCCGATATATTATAATCGACTCGTGATCCGATTATTGTTTGTACGTAAACAAAATATTGGTCAATCCCGCGTTTCGCGTTCGGTGTTATTATGGTACGCCAACGAATAATATTATAATGGGGTACGTTCTAAGTAAAATGTTGTAACTATTACTCGATTTTACCACGTGATGGCGCCACAAAATTTACTAACTCCGCCAGTTTTTTTTTCTTACCTGTAATGGGTATATGTAAACTCCTCCAGTTTTTTTTTGTGTTTTGTCTGTGAAACCTTTCATAGTCATCTAAAAAATTCATTTTAGAAAATTCAACTGAATGTTCATAATAGTCAAAAAATGACAGTATTACAGGATGCTATAAATAGGTAAACTAATGGAGTAATACAAGACTTAAGAATAATTCTACCTGTTTTTTTTTCTGGTGGAGTTTACAGTAAAAAAAGGTACTTGTGGCAAAGTTTACATGCGCCTGAGCACCTGTACCCCTTTCACTTTAGACGGGATACCTACCATTGAACTTACATCACGGAAAAAAAGGCATCTCTGTTCCTTCCTGGATTTAACTGGTGGGTCAGCATGACATTTTCGAAAAATAACTATAGTTAAACTCTTGTAACAGAGCAGTGTTTATCAAAAACAAAAATATAAATAAATGGTAAAAGAACCTGTATTTCATATGATTATTAAGGCCGAAAGAAAGTGCCTCGAATTATATTACTTTTACGTATTTTTGAACTACGTTGAACTTACTAGTATGACACGGTCTGGTGGTTGATGAGAGACGTAAAAACGCGGTCGGTGACAGGGATTTTAATAAAGGCTGCCGCACGGGTCCGCGTAAAGTATAAGTTAGACTAGATTATTCTATACGCAGACATTTAAACACTACAACTCGTAACAACTGATCATGACGCTCTGTTAGGCTCGATGCACGTTCCGACATTAAACTATTAAAACTATACGGAAAGCGTGACGATTATTATTAAATATATTATTACCTCTGAATACATCACCTCTGTTTCCCGTCAGAATAATTAATTTTTTTTTTCTTTAATAATTATGATCGCAAAATAATTGTGATAAATACATCTAAAAGACAAATATTAATTGTTTTCTCCGATTATATAGATATTTTCCAAATAGCAATTTCATTTCACAGAAGTACGTAAAAAATTCTAAAAAAAATATCCACTTGTATTTCATGAAATATATGTACGTTCATAATCCATATTCATTCATGCTAAAATATTATAATTATTTAAACGTGTTACAACAAATGATTTAGAGTAGTATATTTCATCATCACTTACCCGAAATAAAAATTTGTGTTTCCCTAGACGAAATACCACGCCTTGTATCAAATAGAAAATTAGAAATAATAATAATGTAATGAACAGGGTTGGGATTTTATAACACTTAAAATTGCATAAATATGTGCTATATTATAACCTTAAAAATCGCTAAATAAGCTCTAAAAATATGCAATAAAAAGAAAAAAAAAAGGAAATTTATTATTTAATAATTTTATACGAGCACATGAGCAGAATGTGGACTGTATAAAGCAAATTCTACATTCGTTCGTTGATAATCGGCTATTAGTTTATTCAATAGAAATCAGCAAATAAAACTAACAAAATCAGCAGATAAAAAAAATAGAACCAAATAAAACGAAATTATTGTAATATATTATACCTACCTATATACTATCGCTGTAATTGTACAGAGTTGCATCAGCATAATCGGTCTATTTACTTAATCTATACATTTATAATTTAATTCAAAATTAAAATTAAAATTTTGAATCTTGAAAATTCGATTAACAAAAGTCAAAAAACACGTTTACCAAAGTATAATTTCATAAAATATGCCCGATTTTGATTAAAACACAGGTAAAAGGCAAAAAAGTCTCAAAAAATCTAAAAAAAGGACTATAAACTAAAAAACGCAAAATATACAAAAAAAAGCAAATTAACATTTTTTATTTAAGTTCTCTGTATCATGAACACACATTTTTAGCTTATTCTGCTAGTTTTTAAGCATCTCATAAGAAATATGCAAATGCTAAAAAATCACAACCCTGGTAATGAATATTGATTGCGATCCAAAAATATCAAAAAAGAAAAGTAAATTTTGGTTACCAGACGATGGAAATATTCGTGAATTTTCTTTTAAAAATATCGTTTGCACAAATACAACAATTGTTTTTTTTAAAACGTGGTACGATAAATAATGCAATTATAAAACCATTATTTTGATTAAAAAAAAAAAGAAATGAGCTTATTGTCGTACAACAATATGGGATCGATTGAGAAAAGTCGTGATTTCACGAAAAAAATGATATGTCTGTGCATGGCTAACCGATTCCCGCGTAAAAAAGTATGTTTGATATGCTTATTATTTTTTCGTTTTCTGTTTTTTTTTCTGTCTGCGCCCCAGGGTTAAGCTGATCGAATGTTCGGCCAAGGAAAACGTGAACGTACGCGATCTGTTCAAGTGCTTGCTAGTATTGTCCCGGAAACTGAACGGGTCCGAGGACCAGGCGGCGGGTCAGCTGAAGCGCCGGTCCAGTGCGTACGTCAGCCACACTAAGTCGTCGAGGCGCGCGGAAAACGCGTCAGCGGTCGCCACTACTTCCGCATCGCCGAGCTCCGCGGCTTCCGGTCACGGTCGTGATGAGCTCCAGCACCAGCAGCAGCAACAGCAGGAACGGTCTAAGCCCAGGAGCCGCAGCCTGATCAGACGGTGCAGCCGCAAGACCAAACAGCAGATCAGAGACACGACCGCGGGCGGTAACGGAGGCGGGGTGGACGATTGTAACGTCAGCTAAACGTGCGCGCGCTGTGTAAAGTTGGAAGTTAAAAAAGGAAAAATATTAAAAAAAAAATGCACGCGGCTGCGCGTAAAAAAAAAAAAAAACGTTATAAAAAGAAGAGAAAAAACAAATGTGCTAATAATATTAGTATGTGTTTTAGGTTCTTGTTTTTCCATCCCCACAACTTCTTTTACTCGGGCTCCCGTGAACCGTCGATTTGTATAAATATCCGTCACCCTATCCCCGTTCACAATCGGCTTCTTCTTTTTTTTCTTACTTCTCTAATTACTCTCCACCAATACGAACTCCACGCGTTATAACGGCTATAACCGTAGGTCAAAGTTCCTGACGTGTTATATTTATTCCGTCTCCGTCGGCCACTTGCTCGATTCGTAGCTGTATTGAACACGACCCCGACGAACGCGCAGCTCACACGAAAATACATACAGGTTTTCGTGATCATTTCGTCCCACTCCCTTGCAATATCGAGTTTATTGCACACGTCTTGAAATAACTTACGCTAGTTCTTCGAACGATATGTGCAATGTGCGACGACTAACTGCTACTGACGGTGTAATAATTTCACAATATCATACTACGATATTGTAACGTATTGCAGCTTGCGACTTTCCTCTAAAAATGGCAATCGATATTTAATTAATTTAATTACCTATTGCATTCTTCCCTGCTGCGATTCGTTATCCCGATTTAAAAACTCGACGCACCAACACCGTGCATTGATTTACTACTGTCGTATCAAGTGGTCGAAACGAATTATGAATCGTTGGCAGAAAATTGATACAGTACGAGTATGTGTTAATATTTACATAACATTCTGACATTTCGTCAAACACATGGGTAGTAAAAATTATCCGGTTTTTAGATATTATTCGGTTCGAAACTCCCATAGTAGCGCTATGATGCATACTGCAAAGCTCGGTAAACGGACGATTAAAATATTACGTTATGGCAGTATTGTCGGAAGAGATTTTGTTGGAGGATGACATATATTTCTACGTTAAATAGTAGAACGATGGTATCCCATCGTACCGCCTCACCCTACTGTACCCCCGTACACACCCAACCATTTCGACCGCTGCCAGACGTGGAAAAAAACCATCAGGATTAGGTCCTTCGTGTATATTTGTAAATTAGTATATGCAATAAAACAAAGGCGATTAAACTTTGTCATTTAATTTTAAAAATTAACAATAATTAATAAAGCTCTAATTTGAATTAATAATTTACTTTTATTATTTTTTAATTGTATATAATCTTTTTGTATTTTCGAAAATATTACCCCTTCCCCCATTTCAACTGTAGTTCTAGATCCACGCCCGACTGTGCTAAGTCACCGAACACAAGTGTATTGTTCGATTTTTTTGTTACTAAATGGATATTAAAAAATATTTATATATTAAATTTTGTAATTTAATAATTTAAAAATTTAAACAGCACTTCTAATACATCGAAGTATAATAATACGTTATACTATTGTATATTTTTAGATGATAAGTTTCGAAGTAACATTTTGTTTTTCGGTCAACAGTTTACACTGTTCATCAAAGTTGCTGGTTTTATCTATAATTTCTCAACGCTGGTTGAAAACCACAATAAAATGTGTATATAATAATGTTGATATTATTCATGATAAAGAATTAATTTTAATTGGATTTCAACTTTCAATGTGTTTTGTTACGAATTATTTAATCTAAGAAACACGTTTTTTAAATACTCGTATTATTGGAGTGGTCTGATATCATTTTTATTCACACCGTTTCTCGTTTTAAACTCGTGTAATTATTTTATTAATTTTAATGCTTACCTGTAATCGATTTCACTAGTACGGTGTTTATGATTTAAGCAAATAACAGGATGTGTTGTAGTGAATTCATAGTCTAGTCATTTATGTGCCACTGATTTCCAAGTTCTTCCAAATAGTCAACGATTGAATAATATCAAAAAATAAATACAAATTACATATTATACTCACCACTTATGACTATTTCTAATTCTACGTTTACCTATTAAACCATTTTAAAAATCTACATCTATATTTACATAAATTGATCAAAATAGAATTTTATGGTACAACGCTCTAAAATATTTGATTTTCATATTATTCATAAATTACAATTTAAAAATTATTTATAAGATATAATTCTAATTATTATACGATTTAAACATATACTTAATTAATAAACACAATGATAATTTATACAATTTTGTATAGATAATTTCAGTGAACAAAGACTAAATTTGATATTGACTAACGTTTCTAAAAACGTTCCTCCCGAGTAGCTCAGTAATAGACAGCCACCATCAGATAATAATTAAAAAAATATATTATGCATGCATAATTTCATGTACAACGTTTGTCGCCTGTCTTACTTTATTCAAGATAAATTTACAGAGGAGTATATACCCTAAAGGCACAAATAATTACATAATACTGAATACTTACAAACTATACACAATGTATTTATTCGTCCAAGTACTCCAATTAAATAATAATTATCATAATTCTCATTCTACTCGATATCTAAATTATATGTTTTACTAATTTAACTAATTTATTAAGTTATATTGTATTTATAAATAATATACACACGTAACATGTATAAATCAATAAAAAAATTTTAAACGTGTGTATTTATTTGGTAGTTATTTGTTTTAAATGTGTTTAATAATAATAATAATTCATAAAGATAATATTTTTACTAACGAATATGTGTATAAAACGTTCATTTTTTATTAAAAGACACACGTCATTGGATTTGTGAGGTACGACTTACAGTGAAATGCTGGAAGTGTAATGGAAGTCAGTTACTTAATTATACATGCATACTCAATACATGGTTTATATTGATAGGTCTCATGTATGAAAAAGTATTTTGTTTACTTAATTTAGGGTTCTATTCATATAAGATCCCAGTAGAGTAGTAAGTTACGGATTCCAACTGATATCGCTTTCAAATCGATCTCGCGTAAAACGTGTGTCTATCTTTTTTCTAATAAAATATGTACATATACATATATTGTATACAAATCATATCTTCATTGTTGGCAATTTTATGAGTGAAAATTCGTTTAATTCAATCGGTTAAAAAGCAGGGATATTAATTAATATCTATATATATATATTTTTTTTTGTTTTATATATATTTCTTAATTTCTGAAAGTCCCTTATGTTTTCTAGCAAAAAAAAAAAAATAAATAAATAAATAAATAAAACAACAAAAATACATAAATGTATTATCAAACTTATGACTCATTTTTTAACTATAAAATATCTATAAAAGATACTAGCGTCTTTATTATATTGGAAATTATAGTTGTTTTAAACATATTTACGTATTTTGAATAACCAACAAGTTCTTTATTATATTATATCACATGGTCTTGTGCAATTAATTTTAATTGAACCAACGTAACAGTCTATTTAATTTCCCTTAATTATTTTTGTATACATTTGAAGTAATAAATAAATAATAAATTAATAAGTAATAAATCAATAAATATAAAACAAAAATAAAAATCCATAATTAATATAATAATCAATATGAAAACCACATTATTTTTAGTGTCTCAATATTTCACACTTCATATCTTAATCATGCTTCCCTATAGATCTCACATAAAATAATTAAGTATAACAGAGTAATAAATACACTAAGTTCTTCACACCAATAATATTTAGCAGTACCTACTAGGTAGGTATTTAAAAAAGAATATATTAATCACACATTGACGGTAAAACCATATAATTATATAACCCAGAAAATGTAAAAAATTTCAAAACAAAGGGACCAGTAAAAATTGTTAGTTTTATCCGAAATTGTGCAGTAAGAGATATTTATTTTGTCAAATAAAATGTATCAATATTTAAGATACGTGTATGTTTCAATAATTTATTATTTAATAACAATTTAATGTTACAAATGAATTACATTTTAAATTCATAAAATATGCAAAGAATTTTAATAGTAATTAATACATTTCGAAAATAATTTAGTGCATTTTTATTTACTTATAAATGTGTTACCCAGCTAACAATGAATATTCCGTACGAATAGCTTATAATATCATTGTTTTTTTTTTTTTTTTTTTTTTTTTTTTTTTTATAAGAAAATAATATAATTTATTAAACAATAAAAAAAAAAAATCTTAAAAAAATGTTCATCATTTCAACTTAACATATATTGTCATCAAAAGTGAAATGAATATATAAAAGTTATGAATTTTACTCTTTCATTAACTTATAATGTGTATGGTATTTAAAACCCTACCAATTTCAGAAATTATGCATTCTGAATATTGTGTTCATAAATAAAACACCAAATCAGTTAATTCTTAAGATTGTGTGCATTTTAAATGTACATCGAAATAATTCAGATACGATGTACATTACATTAGTATACCGTATTTTATACTTTCATATTAAAAAAAAATTAAAACCAGTTTAATTGAAAAGCAAATTTGTGAACAAAACCATAGATAAATAAAAAATTGTCGAAACTGCTTAGTTAATTTAACTTTCCGTCCCTGTCATTTTGTAGTAACGTATAAATAATTCTATGCACAAGAAAAACCCAACTTGGCTATAAAGAAAATGCCAGTTACAAAATATACTTTTATTATGGTAAGATAAACCTAGGCACACATTCACAATAACATATTTAATAACATAACTAATTTTAAAATTGATATCAAATATATTTTTAAATCAAAAATCTACTGACAAATTAATAAAGGAAAAAATGCGTTGTTCAAATGACCAGCAATTGGTTTCATTAAAAAATGACTGATAGTGTTTTTATTTTTTATTTTTTTCTATATATAAACTTCAATAGGTAATCTATTATTTTTGTTTTTGTGAATGAATACTAAATATTATCACTAATAAGTACGTCACGTTGCATATCTAAAAATTTAAACCTTATTTCAATAGATATACTATGATATTTACCTTTAAAATAAATATTTATTTAGGTACCATTACGATGTATTGTATATTTTATTCATTGGTATAAACTATTAAATCATTAGGAACAGTGTGCAATTTACATGTATTGCGCCATTTAATAAAATAATATATACTCGTTAATAATAAATAATTATCTTTGTAACAACCGTTTATAATTATACAGATAAAACGGAAAGACTATACTATTAAGTTATAATTAAAAATTAAACATTAAATATGTTATTTAGCATTCATCATGTATCTATATTATATCATATCACCAACAAAATATTATGTATATGCATAATAATACATTTTAATAACTTAATAAATAATTGTATACATAATTAATATATTAATAAATTATGTCATAATATTTTATAGTGTATATTGGTTTTTAATATTATAATAAATTAGTTTTGTTTCAAAAATGTATTTGATGTTTATTTAACCTTACCATTTTACATTCCTTTAAAATCGACTATAGAACCGACGAACAGAAACGATTTAAAAATCAATTTAAAATCACATTTACAAATTATTAAAAGGAAAAAAAGAGTTAAACAAAATGTCAACAAAACTGTCGAAAACTCTTTTCAATAAGGTGAGTAATCATTTACTTTACTGTTTATTCAATTAGTGTATTTTTAACTAAAAAATATACTTTGTTTTTGGATATTTATAATAATAATAAAAAACACATTCTTATAGAAAATTATTTTAAATTATTATGCTATGCATTATAATACCCTATTTTTCCATTGTTTCAGTTTGTTCGCTATTTCCGTCACTTCCAATGGTTACTGGTTAGGTTTAGTTATATTAATTTTTAAAAAAAAAAAAGTTATTCAACCATATTTTTGACATAGACTCTTAGATGTTATTGTTTTTGGCATATTGTTTTAACATAACATAAATTAAACCTTCTTCTATTATTCTATTATTTAATAAATCAACAATTATTTCATAATTCAACACAGTCCATATTGATCATGGGTTATAAATATATGCTTAACATGATTTTTTTTTTATTTTTAATACTTTTATTGAATATTTCCACTCATATGTATTAAGGTTTATACATTTTACATTATTTTATACGTGAATAATTTATTTTGACAATTATAAAGGTTGTCTGGTAAAATACTGTTTACTAACACAGGACACTTGACTGGCTTATCCTACGGCTTAAAATAAAACATACAAAGTAACAGAGATTTTCTCATATTGGTAATTTGGGTAATTTTATATAGTGGTTTATTATATACATACATACA